GTTAGAATTTTTACTTCCTGGGCGCCAAATATTCCTCCAGTTTCCGAGGGGTATCTGAGCGGTCACCGAAGGCGTCTCGCCAGGTTACTGACCGGGACTCGGATGGACGCAGTACGTCGCGCGTATGATCCTAAAATGTCCGTAAGGATAGCGTTGGGTTATTAAACAGACCTTACGGCAGGTAAAGCCTTGACCCGTGTTCAATTATCGGACGACGGTGAAGGTCACTTTCGTTGTACAGATGTTATCAGTACCTTGCGAAAGTGAAAGAGAATATTACTGTTCAACTGCTTTAACCATCATTCTCTCATTAGCCAGCGTGCAGAGCTGAATCGGTTAAATCGCTTATCTTGTAATCTGTACATTGTGGGTTCGATTTCCGGGATGACCAACTGAAATTACTAAGAATCTTTCAGAGAAATCTTTAAAGCAAAGTCCCGTGTATGAAGTGCTTAAACACTTGGATAGGTAAAAAGAAGGAGAAGATTGTTTGTAGTCCTGCTTGGCATTTTGATCTTGTTTTTCATATTTTTCTGAAATTGGGGCATTTTGCTATCTTTATCTTGCGCTGTCCTCCAACATCTAGAACGACTAATACTCTTCTTGAGGACTCGCCTTTATCGGCAACCGATGGCGACTATTTAGAAACTCAATTACACACATGGAGGTTTCTAAAAGTTTTCAAGTTTCATTTACAATCTTTTATGGAAAACTTTGATTTCAGAGTGTAATGTACCTTCCAAAACAGAAAGCAAAGAAGGGGTGGAGCAGAAGGCAATGAAAAATGCAAACAAAAGAGGGGGTATAACGGCCGAAAATGGGATAGCATGCCATACGAATACCGTCCGACAGCCGACCGGATATCGTACGTATACTTAACCGTCACCGTACGATTGTTGCAAACAGGCCAGATAACGGAAGGCAACTGGACATTTATCGTACGTAGTCTGCCGGGTACCATTAGAATATCGACCGGTGTCCAGAAAGAAAACGCCAAGGGTTTTCACCAGGTGGCCGGGCGAGTTCCCTCCGGAAACCGTCCGAATACCTATCTGACCACAGAGGGAGAATGACCGCCCACTTCTTCCCGGACATGATTGAAATGTTTCTCTCCGATCTCAAATAATCAACGGTGTCCCATCGATCCCTCTATATCGACCGGTCCCCGCTTGTAATGTGACGTAGGCAAAGCAGCTATCAAAAGCTTGACGATCAATTCTGTCTTTAGCAAAATGTCACAAGAAAGTAATATTGAGTTGGAAATTGAAATAAAAAATGATGAAAAAGAGTTCTTTGTTAACATTGATTTTCATTTGATTGAGGCAGCTTTGACTTTACTGCAGGATGATGGCTCAGTTAAAAAGAATGAGTATGAACCGGTAGTTTTTCCTATTGTACAAGATGTCTACAATGCTATCAATGGCAGAAATCCACGTTTTGTTACTTCCTACAAAGAAGTTGTTCATAAATATCTACAAGATAGCCTTAATAACACTTAAGAACACTACCGTAAAACTGACCAGGACATTTAATTGTTAAAAGAGTTCTTAATCTCTATGAGTGAAAGCAGGCCAATTCTTGAAATCCCTGCTGAGGAGTTATCTGCAAATATGAGTAACTTATTTATGCCGTTAGGAAAATAGATGGCTAGGGGTACGAGTCAAACTCTATCATATCCAAATTCCAGAGCATTCAAAGATTTCTCAATGTCAACCAATATGGCTTCCCCCTGAACAAAGATCATGATTTTTAAAGGTGTAAGCATGTATTAAATCCAAGACGAAGCATTTAAGATAAAGATAACAACCCAAATGCTGCCTCTCCTATAACATCTGGTGATAAACAGAAATTCTACGCAGCAGACCAACAAGGTGGTTACAATCCTAGAGCATTTCAAAATTCTACGTGATATATTTGCACAACTTTTTTGCCATGAGAACTGGCAGAGAGGTTCATTCTCTTTGTTTGGGAGATATGAAGTTGCTGTGTTATGATGATAGCTTCGAATATCCGGTGTAAGTCAGGAGCACCAAACCAAACACAGGACTGGAGCTGATCCTCGTGACCCAATAGAAAAAATAAAGCCAAGAGCTTATGAAATGTTGAAATTCCTGCTTGGATTTTATAAGCAAATCCCTGATAAGAGTCCTGAAGCAATGTTTGAGCCTATCCCTCCATTCTTCTTGACTATAGCTTCCAACCATCCTGAAAATGGAAAACCATGGTACAATAAATCAGCTATAGGTAAACACAAAATCTACATAATTATGAAGGACATGAAACATGCAGCAAACAAAGTCATATTTGAACATTTTATTAGGAAAAAATGCAATATTTTTTTAACAATGTTAAATCTATACAAATTAGAAAAATCATTCAAAAATATTGTTTGCATTAGTTCAGACAAACTTTCATTCAAATCAATCCAACAAAATCCCTTATTAGTAATTCAGAAGCTAATTTAATTTTATAATAAAAATGTTCCATTTTTATTAAACAGGTTGTATTCATCAAATATAATATTTCTTAATTTCATTTCTTTAATTAATGAATATTCAATAGCATCAAATGCTGCTAATTTCTTTTTCTTTTGTTCAATTATTAGATCTTAAAATTATGTGTTTTACTTTGCTCAAATGCATAAAAATACCATTTTTACAGTGTAAGGAAAGGGGTGGTACAGACATTAAATGATGCCGGTGTTGCACCAACCCACATCATTTAGATTAGTGGTCACAAAAATGTCAACAGTGTCAACAATTATAGCACCTTGAATGAAAGGTAGCAGAAAGACATTTCAAGGACAATGAGTAATTTACCTCAAACTACTGGCACTTAATCCAGGGAAATCTCAGCTTCACACCATGATTACAACACTAGTCGTCAGCACAAAGAGACTCATATCTGTGACCATGTTCAACAACCAGCTCCAAGAAACCCGTATGATTTCTAAGGTGTTTTTTTTTCAGTGGAAACCAGATTAGTGGAAATATCATTGTCCTTTTCCACACAAGTAATATGTCCAACACATCAATTTCAAATGTTCAGGCCATCATGAACTCTCCACCAGTAAGGAAACGCCGAAGGATTTTTTCAATAGACTCTGGCTCAGAATAAATTGTCTTTGAAACAGTAGCATTTATAAGTGATCCTATATTGTTAGTTTAACGTGTATTCCTGGTTTGAAACTTTTTGACTGTTACACATGTTTTGATCAGCTGATGTTACAGATTAACGCCTATGGTACCGTTACGTAAATAAGTTAAATATTTAATACACAGCTTGACAGTCTATATTTTGATGTTCATATGCTGAAATAAACGTTTTTCTCACATTTCATGTATTTCCACCATTCCTCCCTCGGCAAAGCCATAAATTTGTCCAAATTAATACTAGTCTCATTTTCACTTTTAAAAATGGCGTTACTAATGATCGACAAGCGGATGAATATAAAGCCTTTGAAAACAACCATTTTAAAAATTTCAAATTAAGAATAATAGAATAAAAGCAGATGTTAATCTAAAAATTATCTGAAATTCATAAATCTTTATCAAAGGAGAAATATCCCGATTTAAACTACGAACTATTTTGTGGGGGTGGTAAATAAAAAAACCGCTACAGTCGTTGTGACATAAAATTAAAGGGGAAGTCTTGACAATCGTAAGGTTAAATTGAGAGAAAGAATATACTAAACAGAAATTTAGGTTTTTCTTCTAAAAATACGTAATTTATTTTCATCTCGTGGTATGAACATTATCATATATCATTTTCATACCACTAGATGAAAATAAATTACGTATTTATAGAAAAACCTCAGTCTATTTATTCCCCAATAAATTGACTTAATAATGAATTAAATTATGAATACTTGTAACAACTTAAAATTCCTTTGGTAATGTTGTTGGATAAGAAAAGAACGTTTATGGCAACAAATAGCAAAATTACAAAATTAGTTTAATATTAATTTAGTTTGAGTATGCTTTAAATAAAGAGCACATAGTAATGATAACTTGGTGGGGTTTTCCGTCTGTATTATGATATTATGATAAACATATTGTTTACTGAATAAATTATGAAAATTTGGTATTTTTCAGTTTATATAAGAGCAGAATATATATATTTGAAATTATTTGATTTTCTAGATATTGTAATGAATGGTATTAAGATACAATTCTAGTCCTACTGCGACACAAGATGTAGCAGTGGTGGCAGAAGCAACAATTTAAGAAATAATCAGTCAATATGAGATTGTTAAAATAGAGAAATATGGAAACCTTTATTTAAAGTTTCTGAACGTTAAATTGAAGTCTGTTTTTCTCCAGAACAATAGTTGATGGGTATTAATTATTAGAGCTCTCTATACTCAATAAAACATATGTGAGTTTCTTTTTCCAGGGGAGGGATAATGTTGCATAATATATTTCTCCGAACCCTTTTGTATATTGTGTTAATGTAAAAGAATTGATGTATGATGTGAAAATACAGACGAACGTAGACGTCATCAGCCGAGTATCTCATCTGTCACTGGATGCTTCGCCTGTATCGGAATATCCTCTAGATGGTGGAGCAGGTAGTGTTGATCAGGTTCTACCTCGTCTACGATGGCTGCCAGGTTGGTTCATTGCGTCTTAGCCAGAGCCAACTGGACGCTCTAAATATCATTTAACTATAAAACATACGTGATTTTGGTCTGGTTTAAGAATTTATAGTTTTTCAATTTTATTAAAATACTAGTTACTTTATATCTGTTGCCTATTCTGTATTTCTACTTATACCACAAAATTATCATCATTTCTTGCTTGTAAATGTATACACAAAATTGATTGTAGTGAATCATTAGATTAAAACTGCAAATTGAACAAAATTCATCTTATTATACCAAAGTTGTCCGACTGATATGCTAAAACACTAAATCAAGTACTGGTTAGATCTTGAAATTCATCACAACATGCGATTGTCTCTCGCTTTGAAGTACATTACATGCAGACGTCCGTTGACTTGTTCTGTTTGATCAGCTCTCAAGTTTGACATGGTACGCTTATAAAACATCTCTTAACCTTAATACTCTTAGTTATGTAAATAGAAAACAAATGAAACATTTTTGATAAAAGACAAGATTAAACTAGTGTTACGGATAATACTGTTGGACGTTGTATGTCACAGAAATCTATAAATGAATTACGTATTAGTTATCCATTTTAAAACATGTTAACCCCCCAAAAAGAGGACTTGTATAACTAATAAAATAATACATTCGGAATAATATTATATTTGGATATATATTTTTGCGCCATACGGTTACTTCAATAAATAAATCAAACACATGTAAAATAGAACTGGAAATAAAATAATGAAAACAATGTTCAAGGTAATAATTTTTTGTTTATTATTTATTATAGAAAATGTTATTATTTATACAATATTGTTTTGCTAAATGCAAATATTTCATACTGCAGAGAAAAATACAAAACATGCTCTATTATATGCCCGTTACATATTATACACAATTTTACTCACAATTCTTACATTGATACTTTTTATTTCTTGTCGGAAACGTTTTTGTGTTGGCCGTGTAAAGAACCTAATGAATTTTGCAAATATACTGGTAAACAAATTTAATGAAGCAAGTTTTGTATGACATTTTTTTTGTGTGTGTTTGTTGTTTTTTTTTTAGATATATCTTAACATCAACATTTACATAAGATGATACATCAGTAGTGGAAATCAATGTATATATGAAAAAATATGAAAAAATATGTTACTTATAATTATATGTTTTAATTGTACTTTCTAAAGTCGTGAATAGAGAAAGGTCGTTAGTAGACAATATCAGATTAGGTACTTTCGCCTTTACCTTTCGATATATTTACCTTAAATTGGTGTTAACTTACAAAAAAATCATTAAATAAAGAAATAAATTCTTAATCGTCGCCCGAGACGAGTGATCAGAACTATAATATAATATTATAAAGTCTAAATGTTTGTTGCTTTTCTTTCGGATATGTGAGTTCTTTTTTTTTCCATGATTTTCAAACTGAAAATGTTCATTTTTGTAGTAAAAAGAAACATTTGTCCGTCTTGAGAAAGGGTAGACATGTAATAGTTATAGTACATGAAACGAGTTAGTTACGAGGATATAACACTGGCTGGGGCGACATCAAGGGATGTTTCTGCTGAAAAATTGGCGAGGCCGTTAGGCCGAGACAATTTTTTGCAGAAACATCCCGAGATGTCGCCCAGCCAGTGTTATAGCCTCGTAACTAACGAGTTTCATATACTATAACTGTATTTTCGCAATGGCATAATGTTTTGTTTTTTTGTAATAGAAATGAATAAATAAAAAAATCGTAAGCTACATTACAGTTATTTATGATAAGGCAGTTTCTTCAAGTTGTTTTCGCTGCCGCAAAAAAAGATATACAATAGACATTCAATGTTAGAGGCGGATTGTAAACTGTTACCAATATTGATTCAAGATTAAAGGGTTTTTTTTTCAGTGGAAATAATTCATTCAGCAAATGTACCTTTTGATTAAATAAGAGTAAATTTTCATTTCATTAATTATCTTTGTTTATATTTTTCATTGTATAATTATTTATTTTATTTTATTGATTCCATTTTTTTTGCTACTCGGAATGTTCGTTACCACTGCCCATTTTGGAGCCTCTGTGAAAAAAACTACATTGATTTATACAAGGTGCGAAAAAAACTCAACCGCTATATAGCAGTCGAGCTTTTTTCCTATATGAATCAATGAAAAAACTGTACTGCTATATATCAATACAGTTTTCAAATGCTCATTGAAGTGTACTGAGTATAATGGGTAAGTAAGAACAAAGGAAAAGTTCCAAACCATGCGATAAGAGTTTTATAACGTTTAAAGTTTTGATTTTAGACCATATAAGATGTTAATCACCTGAAGAAAGTTGCGCTGAATGTTAATTTATTTGTCACAAAAGTAGCAAAATACAAAGTGGTATTTTGAATTCCATGCTGAAATACTATAACTGTATTAATTGCCAAAAAGCAACAGAAGCAAAAGATGGTTCAGGTTATAAGCCAATGAGTAACTGTTTAACAGCCCCCCCCCCCCCCAACCCCCCCCAAGAAAAAAAAACAAACAAAAAAAAACTTTTAAGAATAAAATAAGCATCTCGTGGACATAACATAACTTAAGTTTTTATATATACTTTACACATCATGTAATTTTGGTTTAAGGTATCACATATATAAAGACTTCAATAATAGTGTTTTATTTTTGTATTATAGTTTGTAATTTTGTACATGTACTATGAAGCCTTTTAATGATGCGTGTTTTTTCCAAATGTATTCAGCACATTTTTTTACATCACGAAACATTGAGTATTTAACGTGATATTTGATACCAAATTGTAGCTTATAAATAATGTTTCTTTAAAACTAATAGTTTACATTCTAAGAACATAGTTACACTTTGCTAGTTACTAGACATGTTCAAGGCGATTCAGTATATGTATATTGAGCGTTGTAAACATCTGTTGCGGCAGTGTGAGTAATAAGACATAAGGACGTCAATAGAATAGAATCTACAGTGTTATAATACATGTATTGGAGTAAGTAAAGATCAGAGTCAGGAATTCAAACAAGAAGTAAGCGTTCATGTTTATGCTTATTAATCATTGTCAATGTTATTGTGTTATGTATACTTAAATGTTCTTTATATTAGAATTTAATACATTATATTTGTCGAATGCCTATATGATAGTATGCGAATCATGCATGCTTTGTTGTTAAATACAAATTTATAACAAAATATCAGTGAGTCAGGTACAAATCGATAGAGCATTATTTTATAAGCAATCTATTGATGGACCGGTTTTAATGTCACATATGCATTAAACATTTACGAATATTACAAAAATAGAAAAATCGCACGAAAAATCGGCACTAATATATAATTATATATATATATATTACAATCATGTTAAAAGTTCTGAAAAAGTACACGTTGGCCATATAACGGGACCATCTTAAGCTTCTTCAATTAGAATATTAGTATAGTTATAGTGATTCAGTGTCAAAATATCAAAATGCAACTTTTTTTGTATTTTAACGAAAGGGGATATAGTACCAATTTATGAATGATTGAATGTTTTTATCAGCTGCATAATACATACAATAATCTGCTCACTAAAGTCCTATTTTTAAATGAAAGATAAATAAAGGTATCATTTTCATCATACATAAACGCAATTTTAAACATGTAATTATATTATATTATTTATTCAGTGTTGTAAATGAATGCAGTTCATGGTATTTTAAACACGTCGCAAGTATCAGTGATTAAAATGAATTTCTGATTTATATGAAAATTGCAAATTATTTCTTCAAATGCAAACGACAATTATCTTCTCAGCTACATGTTAAATAATTATTATTTCATTTTAAGAAATATATAAATATTTAAATTTATTAAAGATATACTATGCTCATTTTTTAGTTAAATATTCTATTGCAGAAATTCATTGAAATCTATAAAATTCTTACTGAATATGTCTTATTCAAATAAATGAACAAACAATGTATTGGAGTCTGCGTTCCTTATTACTCCTTATTATGGGTCAAGTTAAGCTATTCCTTTCTAAAAAAAACTGCCATTTTTAGCTCGACTATTCGATAAGAATAAGTAGAGCTATTGTAGTCACCCGAGCGTCGGCGTCGGCGTCGGCGTTGGTGTCCGCGTCGGCATAACCACTTATGTTAAAGTTTTTGTAATAGTTCAAATATTTTCAAAGTCCATTGACATATGGCTTTGAAACTTTGCACACTTGTTCACCATCATGACCCCAACCTGTAGACAGGAGGAGGTAACTCTATCAAGCATTTTGACAGAATTATGCCCCTTTTTCGACTTAGAATTTATGTTAAAGTTTTTGTAATAGTTCAAATATTTTCAAAGTCCATTGACATATGGCTTTGAAACTTTGCACACTTGTTCACCATCATGATCCCAACCTGTAGACAGGAGGAAGTAACTGTATCAAGAATTTTGACAGAATTATGCCCCTTTTTCGACTTAGAATTTACGTTAAAGTTTTTGTAATAGTTCAAATATTTTCAAAGTCCATTGACATATGGCTTTGAAACTTTGCACACTTGTTCACCATCATGACCCCAACCTGTAAACAGGAGGAGGTAACTGTATCAAGCATTTTGACAGAATTATGCCCCTTTTTCGACTTAGAATTTACGTTAAAGTTTTTGTAATAGTTCAAATATTTTCAAAGTCCATTGACATATGGCTTTGAAACTTTGCACACTTGTTCACCATCATTACCCCAACCTGTAAACAGGAGGAGGTAATTGTATCAAGCATTTTTTTTTAATATCAAGCACTAAGAATAGTCGAGCGTTGCTGTCCTACCGACAGCTCTTGTTTGTTTTTTCGTTTGTTTGTTGTTTTTTTTTTGTTTCTTTTTAATGGCATTATACATGTATATTCATAGTGATTCCACTTATAGTGTGTAGGATTTAAAGCATTACATATCTACTTTTTAAAATCAAAACATGTTTATTTTATATTTATAAAAAGACCGTGTAGCAATTATCAATATTTTCAAATATCTTATTTGAGCATAGTATATCTTTAATAATTTAGTTGTCGTTGTATCAATTTTTTATTTCTCTTAAATATGACATCCATCAGATGTTTAAAAAAGACTACATCACAAAATATTGAAACAGTTATGCATAACTTTTCAAAATTCTAGATTTAATTTACATATTGAAATATATGAAATATGTTATTGAATTTTTTTTTCAGATATATAATTTTAATTCTTCATTTGATACAATATAGAATATGTTGTTGAATTATTTTACAGATATATCGTTTTAAAACTAAATTTTATTTACATATTAAAGTATAGAATATGCTGATCCTTTTTTTCGACGTAACATTTCAATTCTACATTTTAATTACATGTTTAAGTTAAAGAACTTTTAAGACATATATCTTTTTACATGTTTAAATATAAAGTATGCCTTGAAGAACTTTCATACGTTTAATTTTTTTATCTATATTTTATGTTTATGTTGAAATATAGTATAATCTGCTCATGAACATTTTTAAATACCATTTTTATCCTACATTTTATTTACACGTTTTAATAAAATATATATATTGTTGAAGAAATTTTCATGTATTTCATTTGAATTATACACTGTTATACCATGTTAAAATATAGCAAATTCCGTTTAGGAACTTTTCTGATACATTATTTGTACATGTTTGAATATAGTATATTCAATTTTGGAACTTTTCTAATATATCATTTTATTTTATTAACATGTTTAAAAAACAGTATATACCGTTGAGGAACTTCTCTAATATATTATTTTTATTCTACATTTGTTTACATGTGTAAATACAGTATATTCTGTTAAAAAAATCTGATAATAATTCATATCAATTTAATTCTACATTTATTCTTAATGTTTAAATATAAAATTTTCATTTTAGTCCTATATTTTTAACATGTTAAAATATAACCTATTGAAGAACTTTTCTGAATTTTTATTCTACATATTATTTACATAATATATAGAATATGCTGTTGAAGGAGATTCAATATATCATTTATATTTTAGCTGACAAGTGAAAATTACCAAACAGCCATGTCTCCAAACTTGTTGTAAATGTGTCCATCGAATTATTTTTCCAAAATGGTAAGACGTTTATAAAATTATTTCATAATCTCAAATTATCACCAATATTTAAAAAATCGCTAAAAATCGTGAACATTGCAGTTTTCACACACATGGCTGAACTTATAAAAATGCCAGAGAGATTTTACAATTCGCAGTATTATTATTTACATTGCGTGTATACAGGAATTAGAGCACACAAGAAATAGTACTTGAAATTAGGAATTGATAGATATAGATATGAAATTAATCAACTTCAGAAGTCCTGAACCGTATTATTATGCATATCTGCTTTGTAAATATTAAAAATATATGGAATCAACTGGTGGAGCGTTGGATAAGGTTAAGAATAATGTTATTCTCAGCCCCATCGACAATTAATATTTTACCTGCTGGGACAGAACTTGATCAGCCTTTTTCAACAAGTATAGAGCAGCAGGGCAACCCTGCACAACCATAAAGCGTGACAATGGTCTATACTGTTTGTATTTTAATACCGAAATGCCTACTACCCCTTAAACATGACATTGAACTGCAGGATGAAGGTTAGGCAAAAATAGCCCGTGTGTTTAAGAGTGTGCGTGTGAATACTTGAACGACAAACAGTTTTAAACAACTATAAAATGATATTCTTATCTGAATATATCAACATTGAATGTATAAAACAGTTATAAACTTGCAATATAAAGGGCGTAATTTATAATAAGGGATTATGCTTCTACTCAGATGAACTCACGTGACATTGCAAATTTGAACGGTCTTTGTAAAATCTTTATACTAATATCCAGCTAAATAACAGGAAAAGGCGATATGCTTCAGCATGGCAATCGTTATTATTTAATAATCATTATTTAATATTCGTCATTTGAATCAACATTGATTAGATATATCAAGGACGAAACAATATATTTAAAAAAAATTAGATTTTTTTTCTTTAAATAATTTTAGGTGGGTTCAGTTATTGTACTCACACTGCAAAATGTATCTGATATTTTATTGAATGCATCTCATTTCTTAATATAACTTAGTATACTAACTGAAAGAAAACATTTATGAGTAAATTTAGTTATTTTTGCACCTTTTACGTTTACCATGCAGGTATGCTCAAATATGTAATGGGCTTGCTGGAGAGTGTCTGCCTCTTTACCCAGGCATCATGGGTTCGATTCCTTAAAGTCAGGATCACGTTTCTTCATGATAGATCCATTTAGCGGACTCGACAATGATTAAAAATAAATTTCTTGACAATTGTGCTGAAATAAATAATGTATATATAATGTAAACGTATATTCAATGTAATGTGTTTTTTCATCAAGCTCGTGTCATTTCTATATGATCATGTTTTGTTGAGTGGTACCTTTTTTCCTCTGTTTCAGGATTTCAAATTTAGGAGAACATCAGTCCGTATTTTGGTTCTGTGCGTTATTTATACCACAGGGATCCTGCATTTAATTCGTTATTTCAAAGGATGGTCGAGAATTCAGAAATCTCGACATGATGACATTTCTAAAGCTGATAATCAAAATCGAGTGGCTGAAGCAAAGTCAGTGTTATCCGATATAAACACTCTATACAAAAAGGAAAACCGTACTGGAATGAATAAGTTTTCAGAAAACAACGAGTCAGCATGTTTACTTTCTATTAGTATAATAACTTTATCACGAGAGAACAATCTTACAGAGTCCGAACAACCTCATTACCTCTTGCAAACAGTTGCAGCTTTAATCAAACTTATCAATAGATTAGATCAAAACTATTTCGAGATATATCTAAGTATTTGCAATGTGGACCTTAACCCGAAAACATATGTTGATATGAATTATATTCCAGAATGGATTACAATTTTTCAACGGGATAAAGAAAAGCGAGAAAGTTTTAAAAACCGGTACGAGAAAGAGCGTGAAGATTACGTGTTTTGTATGAAAAAGGTTTTGGAACATAATCCGTCATTTTTATTAATCCTAGAAGATGATGCATTGCCTCATCAAGACTTGTTTAACGTAATGAAAAAAGAACTGTTTGAAAATGATCAATGCGAACTGAAGAAAGACAAATTTAAAGACCTGTTTTACGTTAAACTTCATACAAATTCATGGGACTTGAATTTTGTTAGATTATGGCGCTGGACAAAATTCTTATTCTTTACAGGTTTTGATCTAGGAAAAGTGTTTGAACTTATGATAATATCATTGTTCCTGGACGTGTTAATTATAGTATTGTTAAAGAAATATTCAAAACTGCGACTATTATATCATATGTTTTTTATACTTTTCATTTATGTTGCATGGATTCTCAATATTATAGGACGTCAAAATATAAGTATTGTACGGAGATATATTTTAGGAATAACTCATGAAATGTCTGATGCTACTGGTGGAAGCTTAGTAGCTACGTTCTATCCACGTGCTAGTGCTGAGGCGACTGTTCAATATCTTAATTCAGTTGAATGTGACAAAAGTTATCCAAAAGATGTAGCTTTGAATAGGTTGGCCAGAAAACATTGGCAACAATTACTTTTAATTGAACCACCCTTATTTACTCATATAGGATACCATTCGACTAAAAATCATGCAACATACTAATTGCAAGTGTGTTTTCACGTTTCAGTATTAAAGAAGCGAAAAGTCAACACGAGAATATTTGATTGATATTGGAAAAGAACAATATAAGACAAACAAAGTTTCCAATGTGAATGGTTTTTATATGCACTATGCAGTAATTTCTATGCAGTAAATCAATACTATTTTATTCTATTTAGAAACAATCTGCAGTACAGTTCAGTTAAGATAAAATAAACATTTTAAAATTGCATAAATTAGTATTTTTCTTACTATAACAAAAATGATTATGATACAAATAACAAAGAAATATTACACAAAAGAAAATTCATAATGGCATATTTCACAAAAGCAATAATAAGTGATGATGTATTTATCTTATAATACACGTATTTGTCAATGTTCATATAAATGATTCTGTACTGTGTCAACCAAGTCAAGTCAAGTCAAATAGTTTATTGGCATAAACATTTTACACGTTCATCGCCAAGTTATATGAATGGCGGTTTATAATTTAACATAAAACATTGCATATACAATTACAAATTTTGTAATAAATACATGTACAAAACATACATAATATTTAAGTACAGAAAAGTATGGTGATGGATTTAACATAGCTATATAATTACAGGCAAATAACAGTGAAACACAAAGAACAACATTGATTTTCAAATTAATATTGTTTGTAAATAAAGAAAAAAAATATTAACAGAAAACTAGACAGTATTTCTTTTTTCAAATGATAAGTGAATATATTTAGCTAATTTTATAATAACGTTTTTAGAAGAAGCAGTCATTATACTTTTAAATTTGTTTATATTTGGCCAAGTATAATAGTATCTTGGTAAATAAAGTGCTCTTAAATCAGAATAATATGGACATATCAATAACAGATGATACTCATTTTCAACCACTTTCATATTACATTTCACACATAATCTATTGTTTCTATCTATATTTCTGAAGCGACCTTCCTCTATAGCTAATCTATGAGCCGAACATCTAAATCTTGAAAGGGATTTTCTATGTTTATCATTTGTTATAATACTAAGATATTTTTCATAACCAAAATCAGTTTTAATTTCTTTATAAACTTCTAATTTTCTAGATACACGCAGTTCAGCATACCAATTTTGCATATTTTAATCTTTAATACGTTGTATAATACTATTTAATTGAGAATTATTTAATACTAAGTTTGGATCCCACAAATATTGTAAACCAAGCGAATTTAACAAACGTTTTACATTTAATGTCCAGGCATTGACTAAATTATCATTCTGGTCTTTTAAATACATAATTTTATACATAAGTGTACCTGGGGTTTTCCTAATTCTAGACCAAAATTTTATTATTCTGATATTACGAATGACTGATAATGGAAATTTACCCAATTCTCCATAAACGGCAATATTTGTTGTTTGTTGACGAACTCCTAAAATCTGTTTAAGGAACTTAAGATAAACGCGCTCTATGTCTGGGCTATTATGAAAACCCCAGATTTCACATCCATATGTCAATATTGGTAAAACCATTGATTCAAAAAGTTTAATTTTTTCCGTAACATCAAGATTAACTACATCAAAAAGAGAATTCAGTGAATACAATGCCTTTGTCGCTTGATGGGACAATACTTTTTGAGTTTGATAGTAGCTTCCATTTGCTGATAATGTGACACCTAAATATGTAAATTTTTGTACAACCTTAATTTTTTCATTATTATAAAAGAACTCAACATTATCATTCCTGTTACCGGTTTTAAAAACCATTGTGGCAGTCTTATCAACATTAACAGTAAGTCCCCATTCAGTACAGTATTGGTTTAATTTGTTAAGAAGTAATTGTAAACCTTCCTGTGTATAAGAAAATAAAACAGTATCATCGGCAAATAATAACAAAAATATCTGCAATTCATCTAGAGTAAAAACATCAATTGCTTCATTCTCCATAAAATCATTCATATCATTGACGAAAAATATAAATAGAAGAGGAGAAAGGGGTTCTCCCTGTTTAACACCCATATAGCTATCAAAATAATCAGTTAGTGACCCAGAAGCTCGAACACATAATTTAACACTATTATACATACTTTGTAATATTTTGATAATCTTACAAGAAATTCCATAAGTTATCATTTTATACCAAATACCATTTCTGTAGACAAGGTCAAATGCCTTTTGAAAATCAACAAATGCTGAATAAACCTTTCTTTTTTCATGTTTAATTATTTTATTAATGATGGATGTCAATACAAAGACACAATCTACAGTTGATTTACCGGTTCTAAATCCAAATTGATTATCAGTAAATATATTATTGCAGTCAGCCCACTTACGTATACGTGAGTCAAGTAAAATTGAAAAAAGCTTAGAAAAAATACTTGTCAGAGTTATTGCCCGATAATTGTTTACATCATTCAATTTACCTTTTTTGGGAACAGGAATAATAATACCTTTAGTCCAGGTCTCCGGATATTCACCGGAAGAGAAAATAAAATTGAAAAGCTTACATAAAGAAGGTGCAAGAATATATTTACATTCTATAAACATTTCAAATTATCTTCCTCTCCACTTTTACCTACTTTAAGTGCTGATATTGCTTTTATAATTTCATTTACAGTAAAATCTTTATCAAGTTCTTCAATATTAATATCATTATTATTTCGAGATATATCTTCTTCTACATGATCACTCATATATACATTTTCATTAGCATATAAAGATTTAAAATGGTTATAAAAATCTTCTTTTGAAATACACGTCTCTTTATTATTCTTTCTAAATTTTTTTTATTTCAGACCAAAATTTTTGAGGTTGCCCTGTAGCTAATCTATGCAATTTTTTTCTCTGTTCAATATTAAATTTAGCTTTTGCCCGCCGTTTTGCTAATCTAAATAATCTCCGCTTTGTAATAATAAGTTCACGATTACAGGCTGAGCGGTTAATATTATACAAAGTATTTGCACGCTTCAGTTCACGGCGAGCATCCTCACATTCTTTAGTATACCAAGGACTCTTATATTTTCTTTCCTTTTTACATTTAACATTATTTTTAGTCTTTATTTTTCTACCAAAAATGTCAGAACCTTTACAATATAATATGCTTGATATTTGCTCTATACCTTGATTTAAACAAATATTTTGTGAAATTATACTATCTACAATCTACAATGGTATCAATATTCAATAACTCCCCTTGTATTGCCTCAGTGTACAAATGAGACATATTATTATTCCATAACAGTTTATCTGTATTTACATGGTTATTTATAGTAACAGGTATGTTATACTTTAATGAAAACTCAATACTTATCGGTGCATGTGGTGACAACGAATTCATATCATGTACCGTAAAATTGTTAACATATCGAAAGAGGTCACATGATAACAAGACATAATCTATCACACTATTACCGTTATTGGACATAAATGTGTATTGACCAACACCCGCATCTTGACCGAATCTACCATTTATAATTTTTAGGTCAGTACTGATACAAATGTCAATTAATCGGGTACCAGACGAATTTACTATAGTGTCCATACTCTTTCTTATGGGTATATCAATATTTTCAAGTTGTGAATCTTTATCAATAACAGGAATGTACTTATCAAAATAATTGATTGATTCTATAACATCAGATTTATTGCCACATCTGGCATCTAAATCTCCTATAACGGACACTTTTCCATATTGTGAGTGTTTCCGAAAATCTGCTTCCAGTGCCTCAAAAAACCCAACATCATGCATATTAAAATAAACAGAATTTTGTGGCGGGATATAGATGAAACATATATAAATATCATATACAGTGTTAAAAAATAGTTTACATAATTTAATCCAAATTGAACCATTTTTATCAGTGCTGATAACAGTAATTCCTGGCAAAATATTTCTTTTAATGTATAGACAAACTCCCCCATGACCTATTTATCATAGACTGAGGTCGTGGTACTGAAAAACACTCATATCCATTAAGTTTAAAGTCATCATTTGTACGTTGCCATGTCTCACAAATAAATATGATATTGAATTCATTTATAAAGTTTAAAAAATCTTCGTCACTGAAACATTTGTTTAAACCTTCGATATTCCATGATACAATTTTGAGATCATACTTTTCTGGTATTTCCTATTTTGCTGATGGTGATGGGGATCCAGTAATATGTAGTTTATTGTTAATATAAAGTTTATCTCTCACTAACGTAGCTTTTTTTCCTTCTTTACTACTATACTAGTTTGTTTGAATCCGTTATTTGTTTGTTATTATGTCTATTTTTATATTTGTGCCATTTACAGAATTAATTGTTTGATAAAGATAAAGAATGATAAAACATTCTGTGCTTTTGATATTTATTTAGGCAGGTTGTTTAGTTTATAATTTATTTCAAATTTATATGTTTTATAAAAAACCGACATTAGTTCATATATTATTACATATATTATATATTTTATCCCAATGTTATGATAAACAATTTCTTATAAGAGTTGACATTCTGAATTACCTTACCAAGTTAACTAAATGAGAAAAACAAATGGCATCAATCTATTATTTGATTACGGTTTCAATTATGAAATATATACTGAGATAAGTCATGTAAATAGAAATCCGTGTAATAGCAAATACTTGCATTATTTGCCAACACGCAAGAAATTATTTGATATACTGAACATTCATACAATTCGTTTCATCAATAATTATCAGTAAACAAAACACTTTTTCAGTTTGATCTCCAAACATTGTGTATATTATAATATATATTTGTTATAAGCATTTTATTAATATGCCTCATGGAAAAATAAACTGTTTGTATTCGCAGTGCATTATTTAAAAACTGCAATTAACAACAGTCATACTTTTAACTCCATGTTGGAGTGGCATTGTACTTTTATACTGTAAACTATTAACATTGTGTTTATAATGTTTGTACAATTATGAGATGTAAATAAATAAAGATAACTTAATTTACTTTACTATAACAGGCAACGTTTGTGTATTTCTTTATAAACGTTGACGCATGCACGAAATCATTGCTAACGGTTAAAACCCTACTTATAAAAATAGCATAATATTTTGTTCAGGAACATTTTATTCATTATTAGTGCAGTATTCATGTGTATTAAGTAAATGAGGCACTCTATGATACAAGTTCTTTTTTAAATATCGAACATAATGTACTAGAAACAACAAATTTTACCATTTATAAATTTTGTAAAAAAATTTCATTAGATTCAGCTTTCTACCCTTAACAACAGATGAAGACCAAACTTAGAACGAAATATATTCAAATTTTTATAAGCTGATGTAATAAATAACTACATTACAAGCGACCAGTGTAGGTCAAGATCAGCCAGCAAATCCGATGCAAACAGAAATGTGTTTGTTTTACAGTCTATTTTAAGCCTTTATTATAAAATTAACCATGAAAAATAAAATATTTCACCTTTTTTCTAATCGTGTGTTTTTGATGTATTGCTATGCTTAAATCAAATAAACATTTTCACATCTTTGGGATACAAGTGAGAGAGACATATTTTCTGAATATCAAAGGTGATAAAAACTCTTTTAATTTATGGTTAGGCAAATTAAAACACTGTCAGTATCAAAGTGTTATATTTGCTTGACTTAAATTTATGGTTAAAAACATAAAAAATATCTCCATGACAAATAAGCTGTTGATTTTACTGCTTTTACGACCTCCGTCCATTCTCATATCAAATTGTAAATATTTACATTAACATATTTTTCTTGCAATACATCAGGGTGATTTAACTAAGAACTACAGCTATCAGTAGCACATCACACTCGACCATCTTCAGTGCTTGAAAGTAAAAAAGGCCTGGATCATATAGAAATTAACAAAGAAGAAGATTTTATTTAATAAAAATAACAGTTATGTGTCTTGGATAAAGTGACTCGGATAAC